TTTCTGATGTAATATATTATTTGATGAAAATGCAAGGAAATCGCGATCAAGTAAATTGAAAAAGTATTGTGGGAATTAATCACTTTCCACATTTTTTTCTACACTTATTGTGTTTTCTAACTTAAGTCCTCATAATATTGATTTTTTATTTTCAATATAGATTCAACAAAAATCTATAACAATAAACTTGTTTATTATTTGCTTATTTAACTAAGAAAGGTGAGAAAAATAAATGAGCATTTATGTAATCTGAAGCTTCCTATATTTTTTCTTGGCTTGAACTTTACATTTTTATATAATGATGGCATAAATAAGCGGTTTAAAGCATTATTTACTACTTTACTTAAGGTTTTTGGGATGGTTCTCATTTGTTAAATTGCTACATTTCTTGTAATTAAAACCTTTCTATATAATTCTGCTTCTTTGATAGCTATACACTTCAGTGCGTGCTACCTATCAACTATTTTGTCGAGAAAGTCTATGTTTTTCTCTGGTTCTGGTTCATCATTCTTACTGCCATCACCCTTCTGAGTACTGTACAATGGGCTTTTAATACGCTGCTCCCAGTGCGCCGAATCGCCTATATCAAACAGTACATCCGGGCTATCCGCCAATTGTCCAACACTGAGGAGCGAGACTGCACTCGGTTTGTTAACAATAACCTCGGCGCCGACGGTGTACTAATCTTGCAGGTGGTTTCCCGAGTATCAAGTGATCTAATCGCATTAGATGTCACAGCAACTCTCTGGAACAATTATAGGCATGCTAAGATCACCGGCACCGAGGAGGATATCAACCGGTTTCTTGAAAACGTGAACAGAGGCACGAATGCCTCATAGCCGAGGCTCGGTTGGATGCTTTCTCCTCCTCGCAGACAAAAATATGTTTTCTTCCGGCCCCCTATTCATTCAGCAAGCAGAAGTTATCTATTCAAGCATATTATATTCATTGAAATATTTCTTCTAGGCCTTTTCCTCGGAGTAGTAAACTTTGACTTATTATAACCCCAACTTCCTCAGGATAATTTAAATTTCCACCTAGATCTCTTTACAAATAATCTTTTACACATCTTCTTGCATCAAAGAGCTAAAATTTCATTATCTTTTATCCTTACTTTATTCATTTTTTCATCACTCTGGCTTAGTGATCTTTCGCATCCCCTCGTGGCATTCTTGTCATTCGAAAATATTCTTTCGGAAATAATAAAGCTCTGATTTAACTATCAGAGAACTTGCTTTCCTAGCCTCCGTTCTTCCTGTTAGGCATCCAACCGAGACTCCCCTTTTTTATACAGAAGGCATTATTTCTTCCTAGGTTTCTTATTATGCATACATCTGCACAGTAATATTTCAGACATTTCATTCTAAACGTTTTTTCCTGCATAAAATTTCAAAATATCTCTATGCTTATAATTGCCCATATACAGTGTACAGACTTGCTTCACTTCAACCCCCTAAAATGCACTCTTTTAATCTAAAAATTTCCTACCCATTTGTCATTGAGACACAACCACTACGCTTCTCTCGTAACTTTTCGGAGCATAAAAGTCGCTTTTGTACGCAGAATACGGCATACAACATACTACCTCATTTATGATTCTAGTGAATCAACCCATCCAAATCTACTTCCAGACCTTCCTCATCCTGTACCATCTTACAATTTGTTGTGAATTGCACAATGGTTCCGCCTCAGCTGAATCTTACTAGGAGCTTCAAACTTTTCTTCTTGGAATAGCTAGTAATTATAGCTTTCATTTTCCCCGATAAGCCATTGAGACGAAAGAGGAGAGCTGATATAGATGGATTTCTTCTTTATCACTATAGCTCCATGACGTTTTTCAGTTCTATGCACTCCAGAGCCCTCATACCCTAGATTTATCTTCAGTCACTTCGCTGGACCTTAAAGAAGGGTGTACTATTCGTAAGAATTTATTGTTTTCTTGACTAAATACCTGTGCTTTCATGTTTTTCTCCTGTTTCCACTGCAATCCCCGAACTCCATCTTCACCAGATTTACCTCAAGTTTGTCTGAATCTGAAACACTAGTCAAATGTGCCTTGTGCACTTGCGTGTATATTTATATATGCATGCCTGCGTATTACTCGGTATTGGTCGGTATTTGCATGTGTTTCTCTGCATTTAGACATGCTGATGTGCGTTTGACTACATGACTTTCCAAATGTCTTGTAGAACCCTGACAAAGTCCTCGCCACTTTTAGCAAATCTAACACTGGGACCAGTTTCAACTCGAAACCTAGATTGACCAAATTTAGGGCACAATCTTTTACTTATTGAAAGATATAAAATCGGCTTCATCATAATGCTGGAAACTTCATCCAAAGTATGCACAAACAGGAAGTGAGAGAATAAAAGCATCATTCGTAAATGCTAGTTTTACAGCCTATTTCTCATTCCCACTATATATCCACGTCTAAATTTCGTCTCTAGATGTTTATGTTAGAGCTGGATAAATCGTGCTTCCAAAATTTTTCTCTATCAGGCTCTGGTCGGTGTCTTCTTCGTATAACCCTCGCTTGCACACTAAAGTTGGATTTAGAGGTGATATGACTTATCTTACTTCATTCCACAAGACTCTTTGATCAAACGGGATAATAAGCACTATGACTTGATCTCTCCTACATGCAGTTTTCAGCTCTTTATGCAATTTGCTTCGTTTAACTTGGATTAACTTCAATTTTCCATATAAATTATATGAATTTCAGCAAAAAACAT